AATTTTAACTTACTTTACATTATTATGTCAAATTGAAATATTCAAGAGTTAATTTCTGCTTTGGTAAAAACCGGAATCAGTAGAAATTTGAAAAGTTTATCGTTTAGTTTCTCGACAGTTAAATTTCTGTTCTGATAACTTACTTCTAAATCATGCCTTAAACTTTAATAGTCAAAATTGCTTGTTGGAATTCATAGTATACTAAGAGGTTGTCAAAGGAACTAGGATCCTGAGTATATCAATTATATTAACCGTAAGAAATCTGTCATTTGTTTTTTTTAAAATTACATACAAATATATGATTCAATATATCGTTTGGCAGATTATAATTAGTGATAGGAAAAATGCGTATTTTATAATAATATATGCATGAATGTGCATTAATGCGCATGAAATATTTCATGCGCATAATATTGCATGTTAAAAAAAAAGGCAAAAAAACGAAAAAACGATTGAGAGGAGAGAAATCTTGATAGGATAAAATGCGCATGAAACGGAATCATGTATATGAATGTGTATTAATGTGCATGATTCCGCAATCATGCACATACATGAAACCTATCTCTAATTATAATAAATATAATCGCTCACTTGACATTACTTTTCTGCTTCTCCATATAATATCGCTGTTTCTATGAATATTTCCACTAAACAAATTTACTGTTTTACCTATTCACCAATTCCCACTTTACCTACTTGCCAAATATTATTTCTATTAATCTATTTTATTCTAATTGTCTTTTGTCTACACTTAGAGTATTTTTAGTTTTAATCAAAAAAAAGCGAAAAAAAGTCACACTTACCTTACTATGTACAACTACTGTAAATTACATATAAAATTGTCAATAAATTCAGTTAACCAATAAAATAAACTTACACTATCTATTTGCACCAGTATGTCCAATTTTCTTGTAGCAAATGCTCTTTCGCACCATTTTCAACTCCACAAACAACCACACTACAAATTCGATGGTTTGCAATAGTTTGATGTATCACTATTTTTTGTTTTACTAACCCTCTACAGACTAAATCCCAGAATACAAAGGTAACAAGATTTTTATTTTTTAGGATTTTTGATTTGCTTTGTTTTCCTATTCGTAATGCTTCTGCACGTTCCTCTATAATTGTATCAAATCCTCTTTTTCGAAGCCGTGAATTATCTGCAAATCTAAATAGTTCAACAATGTCCAAAAGAATAATTTCACTATCAAAACGATTTGTTAGTTCTTCTACTAATTCTACTAATTTTTGTACTTCTTGCACTGCATTGATCTCTTTCAGTTTGTCATGTATACGCCTTCTACAATTGTCACAGATATTACAAGAAGTGGGTATCATGTCATTCGGCCAGGCAAAGTATTGCCACAGAATTATTTGTCTACAACGATAAAGATCTATACAGTAAAAAATAACCTCAAATAAATTTTGTTCAATATTATATACTTTTAAAGAACGTGTATAATTTTCAGAAATCATGCTACAAGATAGTAGTTTTATAAGTTAATATTGACTATTAGGAAAATATATACTATCATATATTTACCTTTCTTTGTTTTCAATTAGAATTGAGTAATTATTTTGTAAATCATTTTTAGAATAAAGAACAATACTTTTTGAATGATTATTATCCCGTCTAGCTCTTTCAGATCCTTGTACAAGATTGGCTATTATAAAAATAAAAATTAAATATTTATTTATATACGTATAAATATTTATACTATTTTTAGATATGTACTGTACTTACTTATACTGAACGGATAAGAATAGTAAATTACAAGTCTAACATCATCAATATCCATTCCCATTTCAAATGCAGTAGTCATGATCATAATGCGAGTTTCTTTTTTTTTCTATTTATGTAAAGTATGTTTTCTTATCTCACTTTGTATTTTTGAATAAAAAATATCCAGAGTTTTTGGCTCTAAATGTTGCATTAATAACACTATAAGATTGTCACAATCTTTTTTTCGAGCACAATAAATTATTATTCGACCTTCTTTTATTTCCTCTATTAAATCTATTAATTGTTTAATAATCTCAATTTCTTTATCTTTTTTTTTATGAACTTCAAATTGTAGCTCCTGATGTGCTAATATATTTCCATGAATAATCGAAAATTTAGCTGGATTTATTTGAAGGTTATTCTGAAGATATTCAATATCAGAATGCCGGCAAGTAGCTGTCATAGTCATAATTTTCGCATTAGGATATTTTTGCTTTCAGTTTCCTAGTTGTCCCCATGAATCTCTAAAAATTAATATACCAAATCAAATTAATAATATTTTATTAAAAAAATTATAATCGAATATCTAAGAAATTAACAGCTTTCTTAATTAGCTGATTAATATATCTTTAAAAAAAAACCAATAATATTTTCAAATAAAATTTTAAATAAATAAATACTGAAAATTGCTAAAGTCAAAGATGTAGTGAGCCTCATCGATAACTATCTGCAACTTATCTATTATGTATAATTGGTCTAACATTCTAAATATTTTTGTTTGATTTAAAATTCTTTCCGGTGAAATAAATAATAGTTTAGTAAATCCCATAGCGATTTCTTCAAATATCTTTTTTTCATATTCAATAGTTCGATCAGTTGAAGTATACAATGCTGCAGCGGGTATACCAGATTTGATACATTTAGTCTAAGATATAATTTATATTAGTTAATAATTTTTCTTAATA